TAAAAGTGAATTCAAAAGCATATACATATTTGCTGATGGAAATGGAAATTGGAATTTCCAAAATAGCTAGCACTTGCCGCTTGAAACTTTTTGTTTTAAATATGTAAAAGTATTCAGATATGTACATATATGTATGTTTTAGTATAAGTGAGTACTAACAGGTACATATCAGGTTCTTTTTGCATATATTTTTTGTGATGTTTTTGATAAAATGAAAGGTTTTGGCTTTCAAATACTTATATAGATTTGAGTACATAAGTATGTACAATATATACATTCAATGCTTTAATTTAAAAAAGTTCAAAATTGTGTTTATGTATGCCTTGAGCGATTACTAACATAAAGTTCTGCTTTTAGTGTAGTAAAATAAAAGTATTGGTAAATTTTCTTGAATGTTTTCGATCAATGAAATCCTTTTATCTCTAAGCAAGTAATTATAAAATATGCTTCTATGTCTATAGTTCAAAAAGCAAAAGAAATTAAATTTAATTCGACATATTTTGCTTAGAAGCTATCAGTCATTGGCATTAGCGTTGCCCTCTATTTTAAATTCAATTAAAATTCCTTATTATTGATTTATATTTATAATTGGTGCTTTGCAATTGCCCAAATACGCCTCATCCGAGCTCCTCCTCAAATTTCTGATCCTGCATGGCCGATGAGGTGTTATGAGGAGCCTTAACTTCATATCGGAAATCCGTTCGGAGGGTTTGTAGTGTGAAACAAATCCACTTCTCTATGGAAGGGGAAGCCATATTAAAGGATGAAATTCAAATCGCACTGCAAAAATCCAAAATTGGAGATATTGAAATTTCCCAAGTGTATTTGAATGCCCTTTTATACAGATCGTAATTATAGTGTAAGATCTAGAGCCTGACTAGACTTTGTTCCAAGAGTTCTCCCTCGCACTTATGCTAGTCGGTCCTTATATACTTTCGAAATGCACATATGTCTGCGTATTTCTTTTTCTTAGTAGTCACCAAATCTTATACCGAAATTGTTCTAACAACTACGTTAGGGAGTCCCTTAAGGACATGCTTTAACTGGTGTAAAATGCTTTTGCTGCGAGAAATCTGATATTTCTTCTAATTTCCTTAGGAGTAAGAAAAAAACGGGTTTTCCAACAAAACGGATAATTTCATATTTTACCAATATCATTTACAAATTTGTGCCTCTACTACTCTTCGATTTCGGGAAATGGTGATAAATCACCTCATACCCTTGTATTTACTTTAGTCAAACTTTCGAATGAAAACTGATACTTAAGCAAAGATTCTCAATCTTTGCTTTAATTAAATTATTAAGCTTCTAAAAAAATCAATTTCTATTTTTCGTTTCTTTCTTTCTTCCTTTCATTGCCGCACACTAGAGACTGCTGCATGCCACGATCAAATTTGCGCCTGAGCGAGCGCACATTTTCACACGCCACTGATGAGGGTATAAATACACTAGTAGTTATGTTATTATCCAATATTAAGTAAACAAGTTTAAGCCCATTAGTCAAATGGTCTAGTTAGAAACCACTTAGAAAGTGGTATGAAAAGCAAGCCGAGCTACTTAGCAACCAACCTATTTTCTAGGCAAAGGACTGAGGAGTTGGTGATGATTGACATATTTTGGTTAGTTTTTGGTTAGAAATATACCAGTCTTATACTAGTAAGAATATTGAATTATATATATATGTATATCTCTTTACTAAATTGCAATTTAAATAAGGCATGCAGCCAAAGTTTTTACCAAATGTTGCTTTTACGACTGCACAGCTAGGAAGTTATAGTTGTTAACTAGTACTTTTCGTACCACTTCAAGGTTTCACTGCCTGATAGTAACGCCAAGGGGTGCCATTTTGTACTACTTCACTTTGTAGTGCTTATATGTATGCATATATATGCTTACATACCTACATGGCATCATCTTACTATTCGTTTTTTCAACTAAAAATCCGCTTTAAAACTTTGCGCATATTTTATTCTCATTTCACGGTATTACCACCATTTAGAAAATACATAATTTTTTTTTTTTTTTTTTTTTTTTTTTTGTTATATGTATATATTTTTCTTACATCAACATTTTCGCCCTCTTACATTTTGTACTTGTTTTCATTTATGCTTCAACGCATTTTCCCACACTTTTGATTAATTTAATTTTAGTTTACTTACTTTTCCGCAATTTACTCTTCCACAAGCAGCGCAGCGTGGCTTTAGTGGGCGTTATACTTTGATTTGTTTCACCTTCATTACCAAACTACTCTTCTTATTGTTATTGTTATTCTTAGTCTTCTTCGAGCTTAGAATGTTATGCTGGCATATATATATGTATATATATACATATATTTCGGCAGAAAAAGAATTCTTTGCCGCAGCTGCGCAAGCGCGTGGCTACCCATGAGGTGTGTGTATGCTTGTGCGTTTAGTGCAAGAAAATATATTTATGTATGTATATGTGTGTATGTACATATGTATATTTGCATTAAAGACCTTTTGTTATTGTTTCCGCTTCGTTGTATCTGCTCAAAGCTAAGGTACAGCTGTTGCTGTCGCCTTTTCTACGTCTCTCCGTGTTGCTACTCTCTTCTTCTTACCTCTCTGGTATTTTGCACGCGGAAATGTTAATTAGCCTTAATATTATGCAATGCACACGAAAGAAATCGACTGGGAATTCTTGAAGGAGGAGACAGGGAAATGCAAAGATTTTGGGGTAAAAATGTGAGAAGGAGAGAACAATATTTTGAGGAAAATAAACAAGAAAATTCTAATTTCACAATTTAAATTTATAAAATATTATCTTAAAGGTAGGAAAAGAGTTGAGAAATTTGTATGATGAATATTTCAAAAATGTTTACCTAACTCGCTACTCAAGCTAAAAGTTAGGCAATAGACAATTTCCTTGGGAAAATCATTCTTATGGCAGCCACGGGCCAATCTGCTCTTCCTATCGAACCAATTTTCCAACACATATTCGATCGTGTGACCACTGCGACTTCAGTTTAGTGTTTCAAATCGTGATTCATCTCTGGCTACTGGCATACTGTTTAACGGCTTCCCACAAAAGGAATAGTTGATCAAAGTTAAATCACAGACACGAAGCGGACAGTTGCACGATTGTCGAACAAAGAGGGCGCAAAAGATCTGCCATAGCGTTGGTTGTATAGGACGGACGTAGCGCCGTTTTGTTGAAGCCGCAAATCATCAAATCAAATAGACCAATAATGCTACTGGTCCACATACCTGACCAAATAGTCACTCGTTGAGAATTGGTTTGTTCCTAAGTACGAGTGTGTTTTCCTTGTAGCGTTGCCGCTGAGTTAAAAATACGTTAAGTCGGGAAATATGAGGTTCTGGCAAGCAATCTCAAGCCCAATCACAGCGGATAGTAATGAGTTTAATTCCCACGAACGGTGTCGAGTTTAAGTTGATGACTGTCGGAGCACACTTTGAGCTAAAGCAGCAATATTTTCCTCTGAATAATCAAGACGACGACCAACGTACGTGAGTTGGTTTGTTCAATATTGTTTTCCGTTAACTCGTCGCACAAATTAATCCTCAGACTAAACGGAAGGTAAGTTATTTCCTGCAGTTGCAGTTGAACTATGAAAATACGTTTTCTAAATACCCCAATAACAATTTCGTTACCGCAAAGCTCTATTAAAATTTTGTATTTTCTTCCATCCATGCTTTCCATTTTCCTTTAGGTGAGAGCTCAATATGCTAAAGGTGATACTTTCATATTCTACTGTGTATGCTCTGCAATCAGCTTACCTAGTTTTTGAACATGAATCTCCGGGGTAGGTGATACATAAATACTTCCATAGGTGTACTAAACTTCCATTGGCTTTGAAGTGGCTACTGCTTGGTTTGTCTGCATTCCAGGCTGCTTCATCGTAATTTAATGGTACGATATTCGTTTGAAATGGTACAAAATCATAGGTGTTCCTCCATAGTTAACTGCTTTAGATAAAATTTAAAGATATTGTGGGATTTGAGGCAATTGGCATGGGTACGAATGCGCAGAAGTTCGTCTGCTGGCTTCGCGAGACACTCGTAAAAAATATTTCTCGAGGAGCTTGTGTTGATCAGTCGTTAAGGCTGGACAGTTCCAGAGGTAGTGTTCAATAGATTCCTTTTCTTTTCGTCCCTGCAGCTGCGGTAGAAATCATTATAGTGGCAGCTTATTCTTTTCCCGTGAAGCCCAGTTAAACAATGATCCTATTCGACCGAGATCTTTCGCGTCTCATTTTAGCCACAGCAGTTTAGTACTGTTATACGTGATCTCATTCAGCCAGTTTAGCATTAATTTTGCCATGCACAAAGGTAGCCTGAATCATGTGAATGGCTTATTGAGTACAGAAGAGGTGCTTCTCTCGCGAATTCGTCTACTATGCAATTCTCTGGGACATCCCTGTGTCCTAGACCACGACTATGTCACTTTTCATCGACTTTGCACCTAAAGTCTGTTGTAATTTGCTGTATTCTCTCATGGTCTTCATAGTTAGGAGACTGGACCTAAACTTTTATATGACTAGCAGTGTCAATAATTGACTCTCTTGAAATACTAGTCAGCTACTTTGCACCTGTTCCAGATGCTTAATGCAGCGCTTCTTCTTTTAGTTTGCCCCCATTCCATTTATTCTTTTGATTAGTAGAAATCTTAAGATGCCAAAACACTGTTTAGAGTCGCTTAATAGCTTTTCTACAGGTATTTTAAATTTTGGGTGCTTTCCTGGCCGTGCTTTTCATATTTTATCGCCAACTGAGATAATTCATCAAGCATTACACCGAGATACTTCACCGAGATGAAGGGTTATCTCCTAAAAAAGTGGAGGGACATACTTGATATTTTCCCTAGGTCGAAGTCTCTCAGCCAAAACAACTGCGATTTCTGCTGCTCTCGCTCTCTCTCTCTCTAGGATATACATAAAAAATTAAGTACATCTAAAATCAAGCTCTATATAAAAATTAAAAAAAAAAACATTAATTGAAATTTTTTTATTTTTATTCCAGATTAAACTACCTAAGTGGCATTAAATCATGTAAGTAAAATTTGAAAAATAATTATAACAATTACAGTATATAAATGTGAAAACTGAATTTATTTTTACTTCAATCACATAAAAATAACTCAACTTGTTTTCTAAGTATTATAACTACTAAGTACTAACAAGTTAGTTTACAGAGTTTTCTCAGAAGTTATTTTGTTTACAATAATATAAGAAAAGTAAAAATCTTCAACGACTCTTCTCGAGTATTTACATTTAAACCACTTTTGACTACTTCATAAAATTTTAAAATAAATGAAAATGTTTACATACGCATGTATGTATTTGTACGTATATAAACATCTAGATATATTTATTTCCTTACCTCAATACCAGTTCATCATAATTAATGAAGTTAAGATTTTTACCGACGGCTACTCAAACTGATGGCCACAAACACGCAACGCACCGGCAGAGCAGCGTCGTTTTGGTTACTTGCAAATGAATAGAACAAAATTGCCCACAGCAGAGGCTGTGTAAGGCGGCTAGTCGAACTTAAGCTTATAGGCGTGTGCAGGGATAGAAGAGCAAGAGGTGGGCGAAAAGTTAATTGCCATTTCATTGCTGCTTCGGCAAAACCACAAAGAAGTTTATCCAGTTGCACGTGTTTCACCATCATTAACTACAACAACTTAGGCGTCAAGGCAAGAGCTAATGAAAGAGTTAGCAAGTTGGGGCAGAAGTGGAAGAAGAAGCCAAACAACATGCTACACAGCACTTGTCAATATATGTACGTACATATAAGCATGCAACATACACACAACGATTATGTAGCATAATCACGCGATACGCACGAAACGCCAACGAGAAGTGGCAAGGGAACTTGAGTTTAGAAGAAAATTTAAATATGCTCATGACGGGCTAACTAAAAGCAATTTGATACTTTGCTAATAGTAAGTATCTAAAAGTAAATAACAATCACAAATTAGAAACAAAATTAAATTATATTGAATAAAAAATATTAAAATAAAAAACAAATACAAATAAAATGATATGAATCAAGATTAAAAATGCATAAAAGGAAAAAAATAAAACTAAAAAAATAACAAATGAAATAAAATAAAAGAAAAAAATTAAAATAATTGAATAATAAAGAAAAAGAAATAAAATAAAAAAACAAAGCAAAATGAAATAAAACAAAAAAAAATAAACAAAATAAAATTAAATGAAATTTAAAAAGAATTTTAATTATAAATAGAAAAAAATATATTAAAAAAATAGCAAACTAAAAGGAAATAAAATAAAATTAAGAAATAAAGGAAATCAAAAAAAATAAACTAAATTAAAATAAATAAAATTAAAAACCTAAAAACAAAATAATACAAAGCAACACAAAATAATGTGAGAAGAAATGATAATAATAACTAAAACAAAATATTATGATATAAAAAATTAAATTCAAAAAATTAAAAACAATAAACCAAAGCCCAACAGAACGAAATAAAATGCAATAAAATAATAAAATTGAAAAGCAAAACAAAAATATAAATAAAACAAAAAATTAAATTAAATTAAATAATAATGAAATGAAAATAACATAATTTTTATAAATTAAAATAAAACAAAATAAAATTAGGTTAAATTAAATAATAATGAAAAGGATATAAAATATTGTTTATAATTAAAATAAAACAAAATAAAATAAAATTAAATTAAATATAACAAAATAACAACAAAATTTAGTAAAATGAAAAAAAAAAACAAAGCAAAATAAAATCAATTCATGAATAGAAAATAAATTAAATAAAATAAAATACAGCAAAGTAATGAAAAATTTAAAAATAATATAAAATAAAAAAATAAATAAAATAATATAAGGAAAGTAAAATAAATAAAAAAAGATATTAAAAAAAAATTAAGTAAATTAATAAAAGATTAAATAAAGTAAAATAAGTTAAAATAAATTAGTACAAAAAATTAAAAATGAATTGAAATAAAGCAATAGAAGATTCAATAAATAAATAAATAATAAAGTAAAATAAAGTATAGCAAATTGAAACAGAGGAAAAAATTCGAATAAAAATATAAAAATTAATTAAATTAAATTAAATTAAAATAACTCAGTATTATTAAATAAGAAAGTAAATAAAATTAAATTAAATAAAATAAAAAATAAAATAAAAATAATACTAATAAAAAAATGGATGAAATTAATTAATGAAAATGAAATAAAGTACAGTAAAGAAATATAAAACAATAATAAAATTATATTATAAAAAATAATTAAACAAAATAAAAGTGAAATAAATTAAAATAAAGAAATTTATTCAAAATTATATAAACTAATAAAGATTTAATAAAATTAAGTAAAACATATAACAAAATAAAATAAGTAATACAAAATTAATACAAAATAAATAAAAATGAAATAAATTAAAGCAAAGTTTGAATAAACCAAATAAAAAATAAATAAATTATTATAAAACGAAATGAAATTTTAATAAATAAAAATAGAGTAAAAAAGTAAAATAAAGTAAAAAAATAAAATATATTAATTTAAATTCAAATAATTAAATAATATTAAATAAAAAAGAAAAGAATATTAAAAAAATTACTAAAATAAAATAGCATAAAACAAACTAAAAATTGAATTATATTACAATAAAAGATAATGAATAATACTAAAAAAGACAGAGTTAATAAAATAAATTGAAGTATATTATTATTTCCTTTCGAATTCCAAGTATTCCTCATGTCACTATGATTAAATACTGGCTGTATTTTTTCCTAAGAAATCCACTTTCTGACCCGCAATAAAAATTAACATAATCACAAAAAAAAGAGCAACAGAACAATAATTATGATGACAATGCCATTAAATAATAAAGAATCCCAAATAAAAAATAAAAGTAGTTATAAAAGGAAAAACGCAAAATTACAAAATGACAAAACATAAAGGCAATAAAGAACAGTAATTTGATTGAATGAGTGGAAGGAAATGAAATAAAGCGAAGTAGATAAAAGAAGACGTCAGCGCAAATAAGCCAAACACCAGCAATAAATGGTGTAAAGAAACCCCGCTGTTTCGCATGCTTGGCCAACTGTTGACTGCCAACGGGCAGTACATCAACCAACTTGTCTAGGCCACATTTTCCTTAAAACAAACACGCACGCACGCACGCACGCACACATGACAACTATAAGCGGGCGCCGACTAGTAAGAGGGCGCGAGAGGCGCGATTTGTGCGCTGTGGCATTTTTGATTGAATTGAAGTTGGCGGCAAACGTGTATGGTTAACAACGAACAAAGCCGAGGCTGGTGCGACTTGTCTGCTGACCGGTCCGTTCTGTCGCTCAGACGCTCGCCCGGTGTGTCTGTGGTCAGTGACCCAAACAGAATGGCGTCGGCAGTTTGAACAGAAGAAATACGTAGTGTGTCGCTTCGCTGCATTGACAGCCAACAGAACTGATGAGCGGCAGGCGTGCGTGCTTTTAACAGCTGTGTAATTGTTGTTTTTCATTAGTGTAATGTTATGTGCGTTTGCTGGAATGAGTTGTGTGGTGTAGATGATGATAGTGCGATTTGCGTGGTATTCGTTATTTTCTGAACAGCGAGCTGGATGATTTGCCTTATTTTGAAAAAGAAAAAAATTAAATAAAGAATTAGAAATCAAAAATCGAAGAAGAGCTACGAGGCTGGGAATAATAGATAAAGAGGTGATTTCTTAGCATCGAATACCTTAAATTAATTAATCTTTGATTATTCTTCCAATAAGAGGTATCATATTGATATTCAAAGAAAAATGACATTTTTTTAAATATGTGACCGAATGCTTATTTTAATGTAAAGAGAAAAATATGTCACTAATGCAGGACCGCATCCTTTTTATGAAATTTCGCCCATCACCAAATCGCTTATTTTTCTCTTTGCCTTAAAGGAAGAAGTCGCAAGGTGTTAAATCACAATACCTCGGTGACCAATTGCGGTCATCTCTTCGAGAGATAACACGGTACGAAAACTTTTCATTTCATAGATCCATAGTTTCGTTGCTTGTGTGGCTTGTGGCGCCGTCTTGTTCAAAGTAAAGGTAATCCAGTTCGATATCATTAAATATCGGCCATCAAAAATCATAAATCATCTCTCGAGAGCGCAATCCATTCACCATAACTATTGCTTCAGACTCATTTTCGACCATAAACCCAAATGAAACAGTTACAAGTTGAGGATGGAGAGGCTTTCAACAATAAATCTCGGGTTTTCCGAGCCCCACTATCGGCGTAGTCATCGGGGTTGAAAGGGGTCTCATTAGTCTAGATGATTTTTATATGAAACACCGGATCATTTTCAGACATTTCAAGGACCTAAACAGCAAGTACACGACGTTGTTAGTGATCGGTTGGATTCCTGTATTAACTGAACTTTATAAGCCTTAAGATCCAAGTCTTTATGAAAATTTTGGTGTATTGAAGTTTGTGGAATGCCAAATTTCAAATAACAACGAGGAATGGACAAACCTGGGTTTTCTACAGCACTTTGGGTTGCAGCAGCCATTTTCTCAGTTGCTCTTGTAGGACTTGCACGTGTTTTATTCTTCACATTACTAAATTGTACCGACGGATTCAATTTTTACACTAATTTCTGTATTGCGGTCCGCCAAGATGCATCGCGACGACCGAAAAATGAATTAGTTTTACGAATCATCTTTCGCCTGGGTCTTACTTTTTGATCTGATTGCTTTTCCAGTTCCACCGAATTTAATTCAATTTCCTCCTATAAATTTAAGCTCCACTTACAGGTTACATATTTTTCGCTAATCGCACTTCAGATAAGATAACCGGATCTACGACATACATCAAAGTACTAGTAAACTTTCATGCAATGCTCACTATGTACAGTTATATACTTGTATAAGCGATAAAGTGTCAAATAGCCGCACAGAAAAACTCGTTAGGCAGCACGACATGTGGCAAGTTGATTGAGCTTAGGTGGCAAGTGGCAATTTTTTCGCTCTTTGCTTACTTCACTGCCTGTATGTGTATGGGTGACTACACGT